TATTGCATTTGCCACTAGTATTTACAGGGTCCTTACCTGATCAAATATTTGTACTTTTTGGTTTGTTGTTTTGGTTGTAAGATTACAGGCATGTGCCACACCTGGCTTAAATGTCAATACTCTCTACAAAAATGGTGTTTGGTTTTTTCTACTTATAAATTGGTACATTAACACTTAGAAATTTAGAAAATACATAAAGTATAAACAAAACTATTCACAGATCTACTGTTCTAACCTTTTTATGGCTTACTGAATTCGAGCCTTTTATACTTAAACAAGTGTAGAGGCCTTCATTTTTTTAAAAAATTGTTTTGATGAACTCAGATCTGCTGGGGTGCAGTGTGCGCTCTGCTCTTTGCACTGTGCTGCCTTCCCACATTAGGAGGCCTCAGCGTGGAAGTAGCCAGTGGATGGGAAGTGCGGAATCCCAGCCCCAGCCCACTCCACCCCCTGCCTTTTTTTTGAGGCAGGGTTTCACTATGATGTTCAGGTTGGCCTTGAATTCACTTTACAGCTTAGGCTGGTCTCTAACTTGCAGCAGACCTCTTGCCTCAGCCTCCCGAGTGCTGGGATTACAGGAGTGTGCCACCACATCTGACTGATTATTTTAAACATTCATGAGAAACCTGTTCTTTTTTTTTTTTTGGTGGAACCGGGAATTGAACTCAGGCCCTTGCACTTGCCAGGGATGCCCTTATTCTACTGAGCCATCTCCCCGGCCCCAGAAACGTGTTCTTAATGGCTGAATATCATCAAATGGAGTGCAGGTGTAGGGTAGGAAGGCGTGGTTAGGAAATGCACCGTGAGTGTGGAATGAAATCTGGAAGGTGACAGCCGAAATGTTTTCCCCTAAATAACTAGAAAGCCTATGTGGAAAAAAAAAAAAAGCCTACGTGGTGGGGAACTCAGTGGGCTTGAGAAGTACCCAGGGGCTTGGTTCTGCCTTGGTACCCACAGGCAGCTACCCACTTGGTGAGCTAGAAGCAGCGTGGCAGCGTGGGAACTGGGGATCTCCCTGCAGTGGCTGTGCATGCTGAGGTCCTGCAGCTCCCTGCTCGGAGGACCAGGCCTGAGCCCTGCTGCCTGCCTTTGCGGCCAGGATGGCCGTGCACCTTTCTGGTGCGTGTGCAGCTGTTCCCAGCCGCATGCTTTCTCCCTCTTCTTTGGCCCTGCCTTGGAAGGCGCGGCTTTCTGGCCTCTGCCATGGAGGTGGCCAGGTGCTGCCCCTGGGAGAGGAGGTATCTCTGACGCTGCTTCTCCGACTTCTGCAGGCCGGGCCAGGCAGGAAGGGCTGAGCCTCAGCTCGCTCTCTGGGTTTTTTCCATTGAGTGGCTCCCTTAGCCTCCCGCATCCTGGCTGGCTGTGCTCCCTGCTCCTGCTGGAGCAGCGCTTTGCTCCAGGCTGCTGCTGTGTCCCTTGCGAAGTTGAGCGTAGCACTTGGTTTTAAATGCACAGCTCCAGTGCCCAAGAAAATAAGGGGAATTCTGAGGTCAGGGAGGAGAAAGGTAAGAGTTGAAACCAGCAGGTTAAGCAGGGGTGAAGTCGGGGCTGCCTGGAGGCATCTCGGAAACGTGGATCCTGGAGGTAGATTTTGAACAGGTGCCCAGGGCAGATGGGGGAAAGGTACTCAGAACTGTCCTTTCCTTCCGCCTGCAGCCTTCCCTTCCCTCCACCTGGCGGAAGTGGGACCCTGTGGCTAGTAGCAGGGGAGTGTGCTGTAGCTCTTTGGGGAATGTGGGCAGGGTTGCTGTGAGTTTGTTCTTGTTACAGGTCTGATCCATGACCTGAAAAAAAAATTTTTTTTAAATGTTTTTTGAGACAAGCTCGCTGTGGAATGCAGACTGACCTGGAGCTCACTTTGATCCTCTTGCCTCAGCCTCCTGAGTACCAGGATTACAGGCAGGCGTCATCACGTCCAGTTCTCAGGCTTTCATACTGGTTGTTGGTGTTTGCACTAGTCTACTTCTGATGTCTAGGAGGTTCCACATTTAGGAATAAAAAATTACAACTCAGGCAAGCTGCAGATTTATTGAAAGCACTGCAATTTAGGGGACTAGTTCTCTGTCATTGCCCAGAGTGCCAGGGGTCCCTGGGCAGGTGTGCTGCGCTGACAGCTCCACGCTCTGCTTCAGTTTCTCTGGAACTTAGCCTTTCCCCAGGTTGGCAGCTTCTGACTCCACTGCACTAGTCACTGGGATCCCCTCTGTGTCACTTTGTTTCCTGGAAACTCATCCTATACCATTTTCTTCAGGTGCAGTGAACTTCCCTAAGAGATTATAGGTTGTTAAATTCCTGTGTGGGCGCAGCCTTCCCCTGCAGTGGAAGCGCGCTCTCCGCCTGCCTTCCGCGTCTGCCAGATGCACCTTGGTGCCAGGAGGTGCAGCTTCTGCACCTTGGAGTCCCACTGACTGGCCGCGGGTGTGCCCCAGAGCCTGGGGTCACTGGGTTGAGCTGCACCTCCCGTGGGTTCCTCCCTAGACTGTCGCTGGTCGCCTTCAGCTTTTGGGGAGATGGGCTGCTCTGTGGCTCACGTAAGTGCTGGCCCTCAGGAGCCCGGGTGCTGAGCCTTTCCTGGCCAGTGAATGGGTGAAGTAGCAGGAAGTTGACTGCACCTCTGACCCACCACTGCCTGTCTCTTTAGGATGACGTGAGGCACAAGGTTCATCTGAACACCTTCGGGTTCTTCAGGGATGGCTACATGCAGGTGAAGGTCAGCAGCCTCTCCGTGAACGATCCTTCGGGGGCCACGGACAAGGACGCCACTGTAAGTATCCCTAAGTTCGTGGGTGCCCCTTCCCTTAGCTTCGGAAAAGCCCCACACCCAACACGAAGCACCAGACAGGCACTTATGAGGACCAGAATGTGTAGACATCAGCTGGTATTCCCCCTCCCCCCTTTTCTTTCCTTTGGTTTTCTAAGACAGGTTCTTGCTCCATAGTCCAGGCTTGACTTGAGCTTCCCATGCAGCCCAGACTGGCCTGGAACTCATGGCAGTCCTCCTGCCTCAGCCTCCTGAGTGTTGAGTGTGCCACCACACCTGGCTTTTTTAAAAATTAGTTTTAAGCCAGGGTATAACTTGAATAAATCTCGTAATTAGCGATTTTAATGGAGCAGCTGTTGCTGTGTTACAAGATGAATGCTAAGAACACTGGGAGGAAGACAGGCCCGGAGCACCCCCTTTATGCTCATTGAGCAAGAACGGTGGGGATGGTTGCGTAGGTGGGGATGGTTGTGTAGGTGTTTACCTCTCCCCTTCTCACCCACCCCCAGATCGGGTTCAGCCTGGACCGCACTAAGAACGACGGCTTTTCTTCTTACCTGGTAAGTGTTGGTGCCCTGGACCCGGGGTGGGCAAATGTTGAGGTGACCAACGACCTCTTCTCCCTTCTCAGGGGGAAGACTTGAATTACTGCATCTTAAAGAAGCAGTCTGCCTCTGTCACTCTCCTAATCCTAGACATCTCCAGAAGTGAGTAAGTAATTCCCATGTCCCTTTATGCCAGTCCTGAGCACAGTCAGGGTACTGCATGGTGTGTGGCTGCCCCTGGGTGCCTGTGAGGACCAGGGCTTGTGCTACGTGCTAGTGATGGGATGCCAGACGGAAGCCAAGGGGCTGTTCCCCAGAAGTCTGAGCACAAGCAGGACACAATAGCAGGCAGGGCTGGGTGGGGCGGGATGTACAGCTGTGAGGGGAGGCCCTGTCTTGGGAAGGGAGCGCAGTGACAACAGCTGGGTTCAGTGCTCAGAGGCAGCTTGGTGTGCGGCAGCAGGCCCGTCCTCCCTGCCTCAGGGCCATGGGAGCCCCATATGGGACCCAGCCTTCGAAGGGAGGCCCAGGCTTCACCGGGGCTCTGCAGCAAAGGAGGGAGAGAAGGGAACACCTTGCTGAAGACCCTGCGGTGCGGCCCTCAAGCACCCTGCACTGGAGGAGCGGGGGTTTGGTGTGAAGCCTAGCACGCCTCCACCCTCAGGCTGTGTGCAGCTGCAGGCACCTTTGGGGGCGTCCAGGGAGCTGCTTGCGGACCGGAACGGGCTGTGCTGCCTCCTTCCTTATAGTCTCCTCTTGTTTCCATCTAAGAAAGCTGAGTGTGGCGTTCTGCGCTGCCCAGGGACTGTTGGCAGTCAGCGTGAGCGTCTGGATTTGGGTGGATGGGCAGCTGCAGGGAGCGGGGCTTTGTGCTCTGCCCTCCTCTGCAACGCCATCATCCTCAGGCAGGTGTCCCCAGGCAGGGGCAGACAGCCCTGCTTCCCCTTTCCTGTGCAGCCATTCTGCCTGCAGATGACAGAACCTGCCCCTTTGGAGGGGGAGCCCAGCCCGACAGTGCTGAGTGCCACTTTGGCTGGGGGCTGTCACCGCTCTGCTGTAGCCCAGGCTGCAGCAGCAGTGGCTTGTGCTGAGGGAAGGGCGGAATGGCCCTTGGCTCCCCAATGTCACCGTGATGACTCTCTCTGTTCCCTTGTGCAGTTTGTTGAGCAGATTAGGGTATTTGGGTGAGGTGGGCCCAGCAGTTGTGTGCTGGCGAAGAGCCCTGGCTGTAGGGGAGATTCCGAGATGCCCACCAGCTCTTTCCTAGTGGCGCAGCCAGGCTGTGACCCTGCCCACGGTGAGCTCCAACCCTCCGGCCGGGTCTCAGCATCTGTAGAAGAGAGAGTAGACTGGTCCACGGCACTAAGGGATGGTATCTGAGGGTGCCGCCAGCCCTTGCTGGAGCACTGCTTTGAGCTTTCTTGCTGTCTCACTTGACTGCAGAGTGAGGATCAAGTCCCCGCCGGAAGCTGGTACCCAGCTGCCCAAGATCATCTTAGACAAGGAGGAGAAGGTCCTGGGGCAGAACCATGGGCCTGATGTGAGCGCTGCACCCACGTCCGTGTCCGAGCCCAGCGGCAACCAGTCTCGGAAAGCGCAAGGTGAGCACAGGCGTGGCTGCCACTCCCCGCCTGCTGATGGGTGTCCTGTTCTGAGTCTCAGTGAAGCGGACCTGTGGGCTTTTGGAGGTTACACAGAAATGCATGATCCTCGCAGAAGGATGTGGAGAATATGGAGTGCAGGCCTCTGTAATTCCCAGTGAGTTGCAGTGATTCCTGTTCAGCCTATGCCCTGTATCTAGAAGTTTACCTTTTTTTTGTGGTATGGCGGATTGAACTCAGGATTGCGCATGCCAGGCGAGTGCTTATTCTGCTGAGCTATCTTCCCCAGCCCTGAAATTTACTTTTTAAAACCCATAGTCATGTTTAGTTTTTCTGTGTGTGTTCATGTCATTCTAACATGCTTCATACGTATTGAATATCCCATCAACATGTTCATGACGGGCCATGATTCCTGTCACTGCTGTGAGGCTCTGAACTACCAGTGGCACGTGTGTGACTGTCCCATGGGGCTTGTACTGCCCAATGGCACTGTCCCGTACCACCTGATGGGACAGGTGTGTGTGTATGCCACCCACGGTCCCAGCCGGCAGGGCAGCTTCAGCCATTCGCTCATGCTGTGCCCTGGGGAGGCGTGTTTCCATCCGCGGGGCGCTGCCAGCACTGCCACACTGTGCTTTTTCTTTTCCTTCCTTCCCTCCATCCCTCCTTTCTCTTCTGTCTTTTGCTGGGAATTGAACTCAGGGCCTGCAGGTTAAGCTGTATCCGTGGCCCTTTTGTTATTTTTTGCTTTGATACTGAAGTCACCAAGTGTGCAGATTGGGCAGTCCTCCTGCCTCTGCCTCTGCGGGTGCCGGCACGACCGGGCATGTGCTGCCACACCTGGCTTAGATGTTTCATAGACACAGATTTGTACACGTGTGAGACTTTCCTTAGGATTGGTTATTTGAACTGGAATTTCTGGTTGAAAGCCTATGAATGCTTTCGAGGACGTTACAGATGTTTTCAGAATTCCTTTACCAATGACTTGGGTGAATTCGTACCTCTATCAGAAATACCTAGGCATAGCGCACACATTGCTGTCTCTTAAGCAGTAAGTGCTGAGCGTGCTGGTGGCTGCCATTCCTGCCAGCCGCTCAGCAGGCTGAGGCAGGAGGATTACTTGAGCGCAGGTTGGGCAACACAAGGAGGCCCCCTTTCAGGAAGAAAAGGGACATGGCCGGGACTGTATCATAGGGACTACTCAGTCCTGTTTAATATAGGACTGTTAATTCCTGTACTAACCATCCGCCTAATGATGGTTGTATCTGCCTTCAGTGTTTGGTGTTTTTGTAGGAGAGGCAGAAGGTCTGAAGCCCTAAAGCTGCAGTAGTTACGTGTGTGTCATTGGACAAGATTATAACTAGTCGTACTGGATTTTGCTTCTTCTAACGTGACGGGGCATCAGGACCATCAGTGAAAAAGAAACTAAGCTGAACAATGGGCCTTACATGATGGGAACGTACAAGTAGCTGACTTGTGTGTGTGTGAGCCACTCTTGGGTTCTTGTTACATATTTTTGTTCATACTGTCACAAGTAAACCAAGGTGATACAGCATTGTTCATTGAAAAGCATAGAGCAGGACTGAATTGCTCATCATTCTGGAAGTTTCTGTGAGTGGCTATGCAGTGTGGAAAGTGAGAAAAGCCCCCACTGTGGTGAGAATACTAGAGTCTTTTGTCCTTGTTCCCATTAAATCAGCTAAAAGTGGATTTGACCAAAACAGTTATTATGCCTTTCTCGCTCCTCGGCCGTCTTGGCGGCTACTCCTGGTTGAGGGCTGTCCGTGCCTAAGGCAGGAAGATGGTGGCCACAAAGAAGACGAAAAAATCTCTGGAGTCCATCAACTCTAGGCTCCAACTTGTTATAAGAAGTGGAAAATACGTGCTAGGGTACAAGCAGACGCTGAAGATGATCAGACAGGGCAAAGCGAAATTGGTCAACCCTGCCAACAACTGCCCAGCCTTGAGGAAATCTGAAAGAGCGTACCATGCCGTGTTGGCCAAAACGTGTCCACTACTATGGAGGCCATAATATCGAACTGCGCACGGCATGTGGAAAAGACTGCGGAGTGTGCACACTGGCAGCCATGGACCAGGTGATTCTGGTATCATTAGAAGCCTACCAGAACAGACTGGTGAAAAATAAACAAGGCAGAATTTTTCATTAATAAAACCTACCAGAGCTTGTAAAAAAAAACAAAACAAAAAACCAGTTATTACTTAAATTTGTAGAAAAGAGCTGAGCATGGTGGTACACACCTGGAATCCCAGCACTCAGGAGGCTGAGACAGGAGCATCGTCGCGAGTTGGAGACCAGCCTGGGCTACAGAGTGAGCTCAAGACCAGCCTGAGCTGCATAATGAGACTGTGTCTCAAGAAGATACTAAAAATAGAGCTGTGCAGAGAAGCCCATTTGGTGCTGTAGTCAGACCTGCGCGCTGTCCCTTCTGTCAGCTCCTCGTTGCCTGCACGAACAAGAGAGTGCTCCAGCCCCTGCCCCCTTCCCACACAGAGCTTGTTAGGAAGTGGGGCCCCACTGGGGTTGACGGTGAGGCTGTTCCTCCCGTCCTCGCCAGGGGTTTTCTCCATGAAATGAGACCCAGGCCTGGGTTGTCCCTGAGCCCTGACCCGCCCAGCATACTTGCTGTGGGAAGGAAGAGCACGGGGCGCGCCTTGCAGGGGGCATTTGCCCAGCGTTCACCAGGCCTGGTGCCACAGACCGTACCACATGCTGGTATTACTGGTGTCCCACTTTCCACAGTGCAAGTAAATCTCATGGAAGGCTCATGTGTTCTTTAGACGTTCATCTGTTTGCAAACCTGGTCCCATAGAAAGTAAGGATTTCTTGTGCAGTCTTGTCTGGAACACGCCCTGAACCATTTGCAAAGCAGCTTCCTGCTGGTTCTCGAGGTTGTGATTGGTTTGATGATGTCAGAACACTTGCAAGGGCTGCTTTTGCAGCTCAGGAATTGTTGGTGCCCTAGGAGCTGGCAGCTACGCAGTTTGTTTACATGTTTGTTTGAACATGTTCTCAGCAGGACCAAGCTGCCAGGGGGCTCTGAGCCTCTGAGGGGGACAGGCATGACAGTTCCCTCAGGCGCCCTCGGGTGCCCCCCGAGGCTAGAGGCTAGAAAAACTAGTGTTTGTCACCGGTGACCCATGGCAGACTTCACAGTAGCCAAGCTGGAGCCTCGTCAGCTGAGCCGTGCGGTGATTTTTACTGTTTGTGCTTGCAGGTGGCGAGAAGCCTAAGAGAAGTGCAGCAGACCCACAGGTAAGGATGCACTGGCCACCTTTGCCCGGCATATGTGTTCCTGGGTATGCGTGTGTGCTGCGGGCGT